TCCATTATTATTACTGTTATTATTATTATTGTTATTATTATTATTTTATTATTATTATTATTATTATTATTATTTTATTATTATTATCATTTGTTAGTACCACAATATAATTGGTTTTATATTATCACTATCATTACTATTATCATTACAATCAATATTATCATGAATATCATGATTGTTATTATCACGACAATTTTCATTCTATCATTACTATCATAATTATCAGGGTTGTCTCATGAAGACATCAGCACTTACAATACTGAAGCACCAAAGTCTAAGATAACTAGCATAAGTGGGGTAAACAGCACAGTTTGACAGGTATTTTAATTCTTTAATTAACTATGGTTTACAAGGCCAGGTAATCGACGCTCTCAATTATGTTTAAAAGTTGACATTCACACTGATATAACAGAGCATGACACACACACAGACAGAGGGAGATATACAGAGAAAGAGGAAAACACGTTGATAAAGAGGGAGACACACAGGAAGAGGGAAAAGACAGAGAAATAGGAGAAACACATAGAGAGAAAGGGGGAGATACACACACAGAGAGAAAGAGGGAGATACAGAGAAAGAGGGGAGACACACAGAGAAAGAGGAAAAACACAGAGAATAGGGAGATACATAGAGAAAGAGGGAGACACAGAAAAAGAGGGAGGCACAGAGAGAGAAGAGGGAGACACAGAGAATAAGGGAGACACAGGAGAAAAAGGGAGATACACAGAGAGAGAAGAGGGAGGCACAGAAAAAGGAGACAGGAAAGAAAGAAAGAGGGAGACACAGAGAGAGAAAGAAGGAGACACACTGAGAAAGAGGAAAACACAAGAGAAATAGGGAAACACAGAGAAAGGGGGAGATACACACCGAAAAGGAGACACAGAGAGAGGAAAGAGGGAGACTAACAGAGACATGAGGGACGACAACAAGAAGAGGGAGACACAGAGGAGGAAGAGGGAGACACAGAGAGAGAAAGAGGGAAAAGCACAGAGAATAAGGGAGACACAGAGAAAGAGGGACACACAGAAAAGAAGGAGACACGGAGAGAGAAAGAGGGAGGCACACACATAGAAAGTGGGAGACTAACAGAGAGAAAGAAAGATAGAGAATCTCAGAGAGAGAAAGACAGAGAAGCTCAGTAGGAGAAAGAGTGGGAAACAGAGAATAAGGGAGACAAAGAAAGAGAGAGATACACAAGAGAGAGAAAGAGGGAGACACAGAAAAAGAAGGAGACAGAGAAAGAAGGAGACACACACACATAGATGTAGCCACACATTCATGTTCGCTTCCTCTGATGGTATATTCAGTTCTAATGGTTTTAAGTTGAATGTTATATATTGGAAGTTATTTCCATGAGTGTTCCTTTGCTATCCTTTATTGATTGTTTAAAGTCGAAATGTTCTTCAGTATGTGAACGTTACAGCTGATGGGTTTGTGATCCTTAACTTTTAATAGATCATTGCCACTAACATTATTCTAATCATTGATATTATGATCAT